AAAACAATGAAAATTGACTATTATGAATATCAAGAAAATAAATTAAAAAATTAAATAAAATAAAAGATTTTGTTCATAAACAAACCGAATAGAAAGCATCGAAGTCGAATTGTTCGTCTGATTGACTGACGCTAAAAAGGTTTATCTCTATTTTTGATTCAATAAGGTCCTTTAAATAATAAAATAATATAGTGAGCTGATACATGGTAGATTAAAGATTATAATTTTATTCCAAAATACGATCAAATAAACCTTAGCACGGGTAATTGCTGTGCTATAAAGGACTGGATTGTTTGCATGTGGGTTATCTTGATCAGTGATGAGAAATATTCTTTTAATCTTAACCGTTGAAGTAGATCTAATGAAAAAAAAATTTTTTAACTAAATGTAAAAAGTTTATTTCGAAAGAATAATATTTATAATAAGAAACAGACGAACAGTGAATTGAATAAATCATTGCAAGTCCAAAAGACATCTCCTAATGGAACTTCGTTGTCTGTATTTCCGTATTCCTGACTAAAATCAATTTGCCCTGGTTTTTATAATACTAATTAATAGATATATAATAAGAACTATAATATGTTATAAGTCTTACCTGATACTATGTCATTTAATTCTATTATTCTGTGGATATCTGGTAAATCAATGGGTTGAAGCACATAAATGTGCATTTTTTCAAGTGCATTTTGTGATTTTTCCTATTAAGTAGTGATGCATAATAAAAACCTCGGATATCAAAAATGCTTTATTTAGAAAGTAATATTTTGATTACCGTTCCAAATAGCACTACACCCATAAGGTCATAATCATTGCTGGTAATTATTTTATTCATCATCACAGAAGAAGCACACCGAATAGCGGATTTAAATGGAGAATCTTCGCCGCTCATCATTGACGATGAGCAATCGATAACAAAAAGAACAGCATCCCTGTTACTGTTTGCAAGCTGACGCGTAATTTAAATCAATAGAATGAAAAATTGAAATAGAATAATAGAAATGGCAAAAGACACGAAAGTGTGGTCGGAAATTACTTGTTTTTCGACTTCTTCAACTTCTTCTTCCAATTCGAAATCGCCAGCATTACTTTCATTCGCAACTGACGAAGAACTACTCAACGTGGCTGTAGATGACATTTTTGTCAAGTGAAGAGTCGAAATTAGACAAATTAGACACGGGTCTTGATTATACCATTATATACTATATTGCCATCAAAAAATCCAGTCACGTGATATTTTATGGCGCAAACCAATGAGATTTCAAGATAAGGTGTAACGTTACACGATCATGAAAATCAAAACAATTGCTATTTAACTAATGAGTCAAAAGTGTTAAAAGTGTGGTGAATAAATTTTACGTAGCGAAAAATATTTTAAGCGGGTCAAATGTGTTTGAATATTTATAAGGTTTATTACGCGAATAAAATATTTTCAATTAATTGAGTGTTTAAAAAGATCACTCAAGTAACTTTGTCATGGATCCAACTATCATCATTAACGAATTACATTAAAAGTTTTTATGAAAAATAAAAAAGTCCAAAAAACAATTACAAATGCTTACGTACCATCTCTTGGTCTTCGCTTATATGGCAACAAATTCACTATTGCTATTTTGCAGATAATTTCTTCATTTGGTACAACCGAACTAAACCTAGTGATGACATTTAGTAAATAAAAAAACATAATGAATCGCTCAAATATCAGTTGCAAACCTTATTTTGATAATAATGAATAAGCATTGAATAAGCATTGTAACGTTTACTAGCTAATCCATAATTTGCACATTCGAATTGTCATCAAAAATTCAATAATATGAGTGCTGCAGAATGAAAACCTGGAAGTGAATATTTAAGTTTTCACTGTGACGAACTTTAACCCTTGAAGCATTATTTTTCATTTTTAACAGGGATCTAGATTTTTGGTATAGATGACTCCAATCATCAATACCAATACATAACATTCAGGGGTTTAAGTTCGCCACAGTGAAAACTTTAATATTCACTTCCAGGTTTTACTCATATAGGTATAATTATAGTTGTGCGTTATTACGATCATTAGCTAATCACATCGGGGTTGAGGTTTGAGAAGCCCAAAATCTAAGTTTCGTGACTAAGGTTTATGAATTCTGCATCAGTAATACATAAATCATGTTATCCTGCATCCGACTTTATACTAATTTTTCAAAAATTTTAGTTCGACCATGCTTAGTGATGCGAATTGTAAACATTAATAAGGAATTGTTAAGCATTTAACAAATTAACAATTTCTAAGCAATTAATAAATAAATTTCTCAAACGCGTAGAACTTCCTCGTTTCCTCGTCGAAAATAAAACAACCAATAATTTTATAAAGTTTTACATTTTTATCATTATTTGAAAAAATATTGATATTATTCATCAGTATAATGGCTAATCTGAATTATGTATTGAATTAATTGATTAAAATTATATTTAATCGCTGATAATATCGTTCTATCGATGACTTCTATGCATTTGGGTAATTCAATTATTAAATTGCTCAAAAATATTTATTAATTTAACAATTTCCTAATAACAATTAATAATTAGAAAGTCCCATCACTAACCATGCTCGTGTTCATTTATTTTCTACGTCGGGACAATTCGAATGTTTAATTAAAAATTACAAGCTTTCTATAAATTTCCACCTTCTGTGATATTTCCGTGCTATCCTTGACATATTCAGTGATTTTGCAGCATTCCATGAAACGCAGAAGATTATCATCCCTGCACATTTATGTCTGGGTTTGGAATGATTTTTTAATCTTGAAAACATTACTATCGCTATCTTTATACAGGTATAGATACCGATAGCATTTATTGTGAAGTTATCATTATATAACTTTTTATATAAATTTTTACTATAGGGATGGAGATTAATATCAAAGTAAATACTTCAAAAAGTAAAAAAGAAGGAATTTTTTGTCAGAGACTATCAAAGACAGTTTCTTAAACAAAAAAAAAAATTTTGTACGAAGAAAATTTGCATTATGCCTAATCTTATAATTTAATTGGTCAATTGTGTGGTTAACATTATAAAAATTATTGCATTTAAGCTTATATTTTTTCAGCAAGAACTAAAGTCCTTATACTGTAGTAACTTTTATTAAGTAACTAATAAGATAAACTTTTTCATGAATAGCGAAAATTAGTGTTAAATATA